GAATCATGCAATAAGGCTTTAGACCAAGAGTTCTCATGCTATCTAACCTAAACTACACACAACCCCTAGGGTATCCCCTCAAATAACAACCAATATTATTATTACCCTAACCAATCATGACACCTAACAGTATTATACAATCAACAGGCACGACCCTACCAGTCTAGCATACCATGACACCAAAGTTCTTATATTCCACATACATAACAAAGAGTTATCCTAGTCAAGTAGCATATATATATATATATATATATATATATATATACTCTAATAGAACCACTATCCTAACAGACAAAGGATATACAATGTCATACGTGGTATAGCGAGAAGACTCACATGAATCACAAAACTGGAGAATCATAACAACACTCTCACTCCTTGCACTGATCAATCCTGCGAACTGACTAACACCAAATAAAGATCAATCCTCAATCAAAAAATCAAATCCTTCAAGTTTGACACAAGGTCAAACTGGTTAAAAGTCAACGGTCAGTGCCCAACGAAATTCAATGGTCAACCAAGTCAATGGTCACCAAGTTGTGGTGAGCTCTTGGCCACGCCATCGGCAAGTCAGGACAAATCAGTCATGATCAGAGCACCACCACGCCATCGACCTTCCTTGGTCACGTCGTAGTTTCTGGTATTAAGAGCTTAATCCTTACAAATCAAGGCTCATAACTTTATATCTGGATATTCTCAATGACTTAACGGATAAAGTTTCCAACTTTATCCAATAAGACATCACCACAATGCAAGATCTTAAAACCTAAGTCTATTAATCCCTTATAATAACCAAAACTAGTGTATGGTTCAAAGGGAACCATGACCTAACACCTTTTCCGTTAGATTAAGCATAGAAATGGTCACCAAGAAAGTCTAAGGTTCTGGAGTTGCTTAAAACTCTAAAAACATCCCTTCAAAGGATTAAAAATGGCACCATAGCATGAAATTAAAACCAAGAATGATAAAGGTGGAAGCTTTATACATTCCAAAGCTCCACAAGATGCAGAATATGCAAGACTTAAAGTAGATACAACCTTTCAACCAACAAGCACACCACCTTTTTCTCCCAAGATGTATTCTAAGGCTTCAAACATCACGAGCACCACACAACCATCAAGAACACTCAAGTGGGGGTAGGGTTTCGAGTTTAGAGGGTGGAGGCTAAAGAGAATGACATAAACCATGAGTTAGCGCCTTTAGATATAGGAGAAACACTAAAATCTTAGGATTAGGTTGCATCCAGTACCACGCCATGGTCTCCATCTCGACACGTCGTAGTAGTCAGCCAGACATGATCTTAATTAAATTGGCATAGCCACAATGTGGCCAAATACTTGCCACACCGTGGCATCAGGTTTTTCCCCAAAACCATATCTTTGAAATCCTCAAGTCTTCATTTGATCAATTCCTGAAAACAGGTGATGCAGTTATTTTACAATAATCTTATGGTATTTTCTTTCTCTGACAGATAATATATATATATATATATATATATATATATATATATATATATATATATATATATATATATATTCTTCTAAAAGTAATTATTTTTTTAATACTTCATTCTAACATATTGGTATCTTATATTAATTTTATAGTATTTTTTGTCTGACAGAAACTGTCTATTATGAAAATAGTTTTTTTCTTCTAAAAATAAACATTTTTATAATATCTTCGTCTAACAGATTATATTATCATACATTAATCTTATGATGTTTTTTATCTGACAGATAATATCTATTATGAAAAAAAATCTTCTAAAAATAACAATTTTTACAGTACTTATGTCTCAAATATTGGTATCTTACATTAATCTTATGATATTTTTCTTTGTCTGAAAAAATATATCTATTATGAAAATAGTTTCTTTTCTTCTAAAAAAACCGTTTTTATAAGATTAATGTAAGATAACAATCTGTTAGACAGAAATATTATAAGAATGGTTATTTTTAGAAGAAAAAAAATTACTTCTTAACATATATTATTTGTCAGACAAAGAATATATATAATAAGATTGATGTACGATAATACAATTCGATAGACAGAAGTATAATAATAATGATTAATTTTTAGAAGAAAAAAATTTTCATAATAGATATTCTTTGTGATACAAAGAAAATATCATAAGATTAATATAATATAATATAAAAAAATATATTATAAGATTAATATAAGATAATACAATCTGTTTGACTAAACTATTATTAAAACCGTTATTTTTATAAGAAAACAGTTATTTTCATAATAGATATCATCTGTCATTTTTATAAGAAAACAGTTATTTTCATAATAGATATCATTTGTCAGACAAAAAAATTACCATAAGATTAATATAAGATAATATAATTTGTTTGACAAAAAAAATATACTTAGATAATAAGATATATATATATATATATATATATATATATATATATATATATATATATATATATATATATATATATATATATAGACTTATTTGCGATAAAGTCCTTATATTCTATTGGTGGTCGGTTTACCGGCAGTTTACTGGTAAAATGGTCAAAATAAATACAATTGACGGTTTTTAGGATATAATTGACGAATATATATATATATATATATATATATATATATATATATATATATATATATATATATGGTCGATTATGAGACCTAAACATAAGGATTTTTCAGTAGATGTTCCTTAACTAAGAATAAAAATAGTAAATATTCATTTGAAATAAATACTAAATCAAAAAAAATCAAAACTACCAAATCAAAATTAAAAGAATACCCATTACCGAATTAAAACCATGGATGGTGTAAGGGTATGGAAACCACACCAAACACTCCACCTCACCACCATCTCCTTCATTCTCACCACGACTCCTTACATACCAAACCTTGGTGTACCTACAACGAGAAGAAGAGAGGAACAGAGAATAAGAGAGATCACTAGTTGTGGTATCTCATGGTATATACCACATGAGGCTACGAACATGGCTCCAAGTCATCACCACATGACCACCAAGATTGTGTGGACAGTGAATGTCCTCCTCGATCTTAGCACAACAAGAGCTTTTATATGTATTCCACCAATACATCTTAATAATAATGAATTAATGGAATAGATTGGGGATGTCATGGGGAAATGTAATTAGTTGTTGGAATATTAATAGCAAAATCATATTTACTTCATTTATGTCCTCCTCACATTGAACATGACCTATCATATTAACCTTCATTTCAAATTCTATAAACGACGTTCTGCACCATCTAACCCTTTCTCCATCCTCTCAACTTGATACCATTCAAATCCTTCACCAAGCAGCCTACGAGGTAAAGCTCCACTATCAGCATAACGTCTGTTGTTAAGAAAAACGATCGTTGAAACAGAACACGGATAGAAAATGAGGAAAACATCTCTGGTAATTGAAATATTTTGACATATATAGAAAACGACATTCTTGTTTCTCCGCCCAAAAAACAATTGCTTAAACTCTTATTTACATCCGTGAGAAGTTGTCAGAATCTTATTAAGGTCAATTAGGTTTTTTTGTCTTATCTTTAGCAGGGGCGTTCAATGAAACATGTAAGTAATGTGAATATGAGAAAGATGTGTGGGATTTTGAAAGGGGTGTGTTGTTGATGGGAAGGTGAAAGGAGTGGCGACGGACAATTTAAAGGTCGGTCTTTTCGTCGGTTTTCTTTGAGTCCCGTTGTTTTCCAACTTTTTTGGTGGGACTAAATTTTCATCAATTAATCCCATTGGACTTGGTCAATGTTCCACTTTCTTCTTATCCCAGGCATACCAAATACCTCTTAAAAAATATTGTTCAGCTTAGAGATACTCCCTCCGTCCCAAAATTATAGTCCATCTTTTCTTTTTGGTTTGTCCCAAAATAATAGTCCACTTCTAAAACTAAATAACATTTTTACCAAAATACCCCCTCATTATTACTTAACCAACTAAGCATTTAATGAAACATTAAATGCAAAGTAATGACAAAACTATCATTTTATTAAATAAAGTTAGTGGTAATTAATGATTTTCTTAATATGTGTGTTTTTTGTCTGTGGACAATAATATTGGGACAGAGGGAGTATTATTCAGGAACCGAATAAACCAAAAACTGAATTAGACGTAAAGTAGGAACCGAAAATCAGACCGATTATACCAATATGGATCTGTTTATGTTCGGGTAATACCGGTTTCGGTTCGGTTAGTAACCGAAAAACATGTACAATATGCTTAAGGACCGAAATAAACCGCAAAAATGAATAAACTCAATTTATTACAATAAAGTAAATGTCAATTTAAAAAGGAAAAAAAAAAACAGCTTCAATACCTCCTATTTAGGAGCTTATAGCTCATTGAGTATACAACCAAAAAATGCATGTAAACTATGTAAATAGTAGGTTAAGTTGTGAACTACAAGTTGGAACAAAAATCGGGCAAATCAGACAAATAACGAAGATGTTATGACAATTCAAAGTTGGTCTAAAATTCTGCAAACAAGCTGAAACATAAAACTCATATTCAATACCCCTTGTTTAGGGGTTTGTATCTCACTAAATATACAACCAAAAATAGCATATAAACAGTGTAAACAGTATGTTCAACTGCGAACTACAAGCTGGAAAAAAAATGAGACAGATCGGACAAATAACGAAAACGCTATAACAGTTCAAAGTTGGCTTAAAATTCTACAACCATGTTGATATTAAAAAAAAAAAAAACACAAAAAAATGGAATTGAATATGGAATTACCTTTAACTTCAAACTTGCCAAAACCTTTTCAATTTCCGGTTCCGATTCTTTTAAAACCGAAAAACCCAAGAACAATAAGCCTAAAGTACAAATCCGAGAACCGAATTGTATCAGCTTATTCGGTCCTAATTCGGTTCCGGTTTCAATTCAGATTCGGTTATTCGGTCCAAATGTTCATCCTTAGTTATGTTCGGTTCCATCCCATACCACTTACCAAACGTTTTCTTAAAGAACAATTTACACAAAGTTGTGAATATTAGCCTTCCAAATACAAACTTGAATACTTATTAACTACGGTGCAAAAAAGGTTTACATAAACTGGAATAACTGTCCCACTAACATATGACATAAAACTATGAAGAAACTACCCACTACTGGAAGACCAAGTCAAGAAAAACTAAACTACTAAGTAAACTAATAAAATAAAGTTGGACATAAGTAGTCCATGAACGCATGCAAAACATGTACATAATCATAATCCAATCAAGAATTGTGTTTTACTTCAACATCCCCGGCCTCTCAACGTTTACTTCCACAATTCCCATTTTCTCACAAAACTCAATCATCTTCTTGCTTAGCAAACCCTTCCTAAAGATAACATAACATTTTTTGAAAGCAAAAAGGATGTGCATCTGGTGCAATTAAAGTTTTAAATTGTACTAGATCCAATTCTAAGCAAATTTGATAACATCTCTCCAACTAAAGATCCATACCAATCAATCATATAGTATTCCTAATCGTCCGCTTCAAAAGATTCATCAACATCGGACCCAGAGGGATACATATGCATTTCATCATCATCATCATCATAATCATCATCATCAGAGGTTTGTGTTGAGTTGTGCTTAAAATCTTTGATCCGTTTCATGCAGAGTTTTCCCAATTTCCCCCCAAGATAAAGATTATGACACTCACGCACGTCTAGGGATTGAAGGTGAGGGCAGCCATTAAGAATGGCCTTCAGTCCATCATTTGTCATCTCATCACCATAAATCTGCAAATGGCGTAACCCGGGCATGTTGTTTGCAATTGCAACAGCTAGATCATCACATTCGGCGTATGGCCTGGTGTATATAATGTCAAATACCTTGAAAGACTTGAGCTGAGGGCAATTCTGTCCAATAACTTCAATGTCTTCTACACTGATAAAGATGTAAGAGAATTCAAGTTCCTCCAACTGCGACAGTCTTTTGATTGCCCAACTAAACCCACTATCCGCTATATGGTCGCAGGACCAAAGGTCAAGACGCTTCAGCTTACGTGAGCTGGACCCACACAATAGAAACAGGGTTTTCAGTAACATAAAACTACTTAGACATTTGACAACATATTAAATGGTGTGATAGTAAATCATATTTAGGTAGCATAGAATATGTTATCTGTATCAAACTAAACAGGGCATAACAAGATCTAAATATAATTGGTATTCTTATATAGTTTGATAAAAATTATTATAACTTTTCCTCGGGTTTTGAAGGATTTATAGTATGTTGTCAAAATTCAACCAATTTGAGCCAAGTTGCAACCTTTCTTCATCTCAATGTTCCAAATTAATACTCAATACAACAGTACAGCACATAACACAAGCCAAAAAACGCAGATTACCAAATTCGTACTCCATATGTAAACTATTATTAGACTTGGAAAAGAAAGAAGGGCTGTATGTCTATTTTCCATAACTGATGGAGCGTGAGTGAGTGTGTGCATCATGAGTACGAACTAAAATAAATAGCATGAGTATGAAATTGAATAGCGATGGGAAGGGAATAAAACCTACCGTAGCACGATGTAATCAAGGAGATCATCGGTGCAAAATCCTCCGATACTGATATCAATCAGTTCCCCACAGCTGAGATCGACTGCCTGCTTAGTCAGCATCTCGATTTTGTAATTCCTATCACAACCATCCTGCCATTTGTTAATATCGATGACCTTCCACATCGCCGGATCCTTGCAAATTCTCCGCCAAGTTCTGCATACTTGCCCTGCGCTCCTGAGTTTTTCCACGCTATTCAATCTTCCAAATATATTTTCCATCAGTTCGTCAGGCATTAACAGCCAATTTGGAGATTCCTTCATTGCCGACGACGGACCTACGGCGGAGATCGACGCCATTTTAACTCCGAAATACGATTAATTTTACCGGATCCTTTTTATCTTCCCGATTAATGGAAAATCCCCTTTTCTATGGGAAAGGAGTGAATTACAAGTAGTCCGTAGCCTTTTGCGTGTTCTACAAATTCAGTCCTTTGAGAATTATGAGTTTGCATACTCTGTTTATACCCATTTATTAAAGGCAGAATTTCATATATAACCTCAAAATATCATATTTGTCCCGACTTAACATCTAAATATCATATTTGTCCTCTTTAATATTTTAGAATATCATATTTACCCAAATCTATTTTTTTGGTAATTTTTATTAATTTATAATTTTTTTTTATAATCTTAAATCATTATAATTAAAAAAACATACCAAATGGACAATAATGCCCTTACTTCTAAATGACAGATATCACAATCACACGATTAAGATTTACAATCGCAGCTTCTCTCATTCTTACTATCGCATCGCATCACAGTTCCTTCTTCCCCTGTTGTCCCACCTAGCTTCTTGCAATCATACCCATCACGCTTCAGGTAAGGTAATTGACTTCGACCCTAATATGATATTTAGGGAGGGAGGAGTTGTTGAATCCTTTAGCGCTTTTTTTTTGTTTATGATTTTGCCTATTCAAATGTGTTGATACTTTTAGGTAGTGATGAAGTGATGACTACAAGCATTTTACTTTTTCTATGATGGATGTCGGAGATTAAAAGTAGCAGCGGATTTGTGGACTATGGTCCGTAGTATAGATGCATGTGCTATTTTTTCAAGGCGTATTTAATTGGTTCAAGGTTAGAATTACATTTTAAAGTGAGTTTGTTGCTTATTACGAATTGTATGTTAGTTGAATGATTTCAAAAAGTTAATGACTCAAAGAGAAGAGAAATAAGGAATATTTGAACAAAGTTTTCTAATATAAAGTTTGTTGTTTAGCAGATCAAATTCTCTTTGTCTGTCCATGGCTTTCTATTCTTCATTTCTACATTTTAGATGAATACTTTAGAAGAAATATGTTTGTTCTTTCCTACGTACTACTGATCCTAATTAATGTTTATGTGATTGTTATTCAATTCTCACTTACTTTTGTTGTTGAAGTTATGTTTCTTCTTTATTCTACTTTGTTTAATATGGATTTGAAGAGCTTGATCATAAATGACTAGATTGAAACCATCTATTTCTTATGATGATATATGGGGTTGAAGGATTCCAATTTTAACAAAAACTCGGATGTCACTTACAGTAATAGATAGCAGCAAGCATAACTTTGTATTATACTCAATCAATGGCGATATGTGGGATGGATAATTCATAGGTTAGGAGCCTCATGGAACCTGGTTTCTTAAATGGGAACTAGACTAATCTATTTCCCTCGGGACCCGTTTACATAAAGTCGAACCAGACTCTATTTGTTGCATATGAACCGGTTTACTAATCAGGTTTTATTTGTCTTTCACATTATAACATATGTAACATCCAGTTTTGGAAGTGTTCGGTTGTGGCTTCGGAGGCCAAGGGTATAAGCGTAATCTGACGATTCGGTCTTTTATGGGTCTCGGGTTTTATTCGGGAGGTTTTAAGGCTTGTGTGTGTAGCTAGGAGCGTAGGGCTTCTCGCCACCTTTTCATGGATATAAAGTTTGTTGGAAACAGACTTAGAACGAAGAAGTTATAGCACTTTGAAGGTTTTGGCAGAATTAGCCCCTAATGGAGAAGTTTGGCGGATAAGTCTCATGCATGCAAGGGAATGCATGCACGTTTCCGGCTGGGAACGCCCAGCGTAAGTTGGGTTACGCCTATCGTTGAAGGTTGCATGGACGCGGGTGGTATGTGAGTACGTCGGGCGTACAAAGAGGTACGCGGGGCGTACTCCCTTCAGACCAAAACCCTAATTTTAGGGCTAAGCACTATATAAAGAACATAATGCCCTAGATATCAGCCTCCCTCTCACCCTTAGACAGCTACCACGAAACCCTAATCCATACTTGAGTGTTCTTGAAGCTTAGAAGGCCATTAGAGAGCATTTTGGTGTTTTGGATCCATTTTCCAAGGAAGTGAAGAGCAAAGCAAGGTGGTGGTTCAAAGGAGAATTGTAGATCTAGGATTGTTGCTTCATTTCAGACCTTCTTGAGGTATAAAGTCTGGAACTTGCCTCTTAAGTGCTTATATCCATTATGTTGAGTTTTTGGACCTTTTTGTCCCAAGGATGAAGCTTTATGGTACAAATTTGTTTTCTAGGCTTAGGGTTGCCACCCTTGGTGCTAAATGAGTCCCTAACATAGAAAGTTGTCATCTTTAAGGTCTTAATGGGTACATGCAAGAGTTAAGACCATTTTCATGGAAGTAGGATACCATTTTTGGAGTTTGGGCTTATGTGGGACATGCAAAGTCACCAAGTCAGTGACTTTATGGATTCATATGTTAATAAGAACTCAGATTTGGACCATTGACTTGAAGCATTAAGTGCTTAATAGCGAAAAGAGCTTAACAGGGGAGTATGTTGGGTGTACAAGCTGGTACGCGCAGCGTACAAGTCACGAACCCAGTACGTCATGCGTACATCCGAGTACACCCCGCGTACTCAGTCAGAGTGGGTTTTGCACAAGTAGGCCTCGGTTTAGGCCATTCATTAGACTTTGCTACTTTGGGCCTTAGTGGGCCATCTGGAATTGAACATTTGGACTAGAAAAACATTAGTGGGTCTTTGGCTAAGGCCCATGTGAAGGGATTGGGCCTAATTGGAAATTGGGCTATATATTGGGCCTTGTAAGAGTCTTTATCTTTTTATGCCAAGGGTTAAGTAGAGTCCATCTTTGGATAAGAGTATGTGAGGGGTAGAATGGTCTTTTACCCCAGTGAGGACTTATGGATAAGTTATGAGAATCCCGAACTTAATTAGTTTGTATGATGACTAGTATCTCGAGGAGCCGGAGGATCAGCAGTTCGGGGATTTGCCAGCTAGCAGCCAGAGGATTATATGCGGGACTTCAGTAGTGCGATGTGAGTTTCCTCCTGTAGGAACAGGTCGAAAGTAGCAATGTCGGCCCGTATATATGTGTTTATATGTTTTCCGGACTACGGTCCAATGTCGGGCGAGGCCCGAGGAATGTTTTTTATGCTTGAGGTCTTTGTGATTCTTGCAAGTGTTTGTATGTTTCCGGATTACGATTCGATGTCAGTCGGTGCCCGAGGAATGCTTACATGTATGCTTTTCCGGACTAAGGTCCGATGCCCGGCGGTGCCCGAGGAATGTTATATATATGAGTTACCGGACTACGGTTCGATGCCGAGTGGTACCCGATGACTATGTGTATGTTAGATTATACTTGTTGTCTGTGTGATACTTGTATGTGACTGGAAGGGAGGTGAGTGTGGACGGGGTCCCGTATCTCATCACTAGCTGAGTGTGGACGGGGTTCCATATCTCATCATTAGCAGAGCAGGGGCGAGGCCCATGATAGGCGAGACCTTAGCATATAGTACTATGTATGATCCTTATGTGTTAGTATGATTATATGATATTGATTGTATGTGTATAGCGGGCGAGGCCCAGAGACAGGCGGGGCCTGGAAGAAACAGATCTGTATACGGAGCGGGGCCCAATGTCGGGCGGGGCCTGATGCCAGGCAGAGCCTGATGTCGGGCTAGGCCCGAGGAAGTGGCGGGGGCCCAGTATATGTGTTATGTGTATGGTATGTGGTAGTATGGGGAGCTCACTAAGCTTCGTGCATACGGTTTTTAGTTTTGGTTTTAGGTACTTCCAGTTACAAAGAGAAGAGCTCGGGATGACTACATTGCACACAGCATGAAAATTAGCCTGGGATGTTTACTCTGATGTTTTGATTTGGAAACTCTTATTATAATGTTTTGAGATATGTTGACTTACGTTTTGATGATTATGGTTTTATTTAATAATTAAAAATGAAATTTTTGGTTATGATTTTTGGGATGTTTCAAGTTGGTATCAGAGCCTTGGTTTGAGGGATTCAGGCACACTCTCGAGTGAGTCTGAACTCAAACTAAGGACTTGGTATGAAAATTTTCAAAAAGAAAATCATTTTTTAAAAAGGATTTTGAAAAGGAAAAAGGGTGCGGTGCATGCAATCAGCCGAGCTCAAGTAAGTTCTCCCAAATTATCCATACAAGTTTATGTTATGATATGAATTGTGAATAAGTGAACTGGATGCTAGATTAGGGCTAAGGATCTAGCAAGGATGTCTTGTATGCCTACTGTATGAGCTTATTGACTTACATGCTAGTACTGATTAGTCAGTGATATGATGGTCTGATTAGGATATGCTTGGTTTTGTTACTCAATGCTCGAATGTTGCTTGCTTTGTGCTTTTAGGATTTCTAGTCATCTTTAACTAACTAGTAAACGAATATGTTAAGTTACATATTACAAGGACTAAACAATTTCAGGATGTTAGGTTTAGCCCTATTTCGCAGCTCTCGTTTGAGTCTAACCGTTGTAGGGAGAGACCTCTAATTCGAAGAATTATCTGGTCTTAGTAATATGTAATGGTATTCGTGAGCTAGTTAAGGGAAGATAGCAGGGACTTCTTATGCAGTTGATGGCGGAGAGTGGGTCGGAGATTACCCTAGGGTAAGCCTAGGATGAGATTAGTGACAAGAGTTATGTGATTGTAGATCGTATGTGTGGATAGAATTGCTTGATTAGTGTATGCTGGTTGGATTTTCCATTGTCTGAATGTTGTTTGCTCTGTGCTTTGTGGGACTTTTAGTGATGCGAATTGACAACTAAGTGAATATGCTAAGTCACATGTGGCCCAGGTTAAATAATCTGAGAGTGATGGATTTGACCCTATTGTGCAGCTCTCGTTTGAGTACAACCGTTCTAGGGTTGAGTCTTTTACTCGAAGGATTATCTGATCTCTGTTGCATGTGACTATATTCATGAGGAAGCCAGTTGGCATTGATGGGAGTCCTTCAGCAGTTGAGGGTTGGGTGAGGTCGGGAACGTAGGAAAGCCTAAGATATGCTTCATTGGGCTAGTAGTACGGTTTAGCGAGTTTTGGGTGCATCAGTTTGAGGAAGTGACTTA